TGTTTCATGCATATCATATTTAACTTCTCTTTTTTTTGCAAAGGAATGTTTTGGTTAATCAAACACTTGCATTTCTATTTAAAGTAATATTTTGATAAACCTAAAGGCCATGTTTCACTCGAATTTACATTCTTAAAAGTTGTTGTCTATGGGTTGAGTTATATATATATGTACAGTTGAAGTCAGAATTAATTGTATAAATTAAAAAAAAAATCTTTTTTTAAAATATTTCCCAAATGATGTTGAGCAGATTGAGGAAATGTTCACAGTGTGTCTGATAATATTTGTTCTTCTGGAGAAAGTCTGATTTGTTTTATTTCAGCTAGAATAAAAGCAGTTATTAATTTTTTTAAACACCATTTTAGGGACAATATTATTAGCCCCTTTAAGCTATATTTTTTCTTAATAATCTACAGAACAAACCATAATTATACAATAACTTGCCTAATTACCCCAACCTGCTTAGTTAACTTAATTAACCCAGTTGAGCCTGCCTAGTTACCCTAATTACCCTAGTGAAAAATACATTTCTAATAATCAGTCTAATAATTTAGAATTATCGGTCTAATAATTCAGGGGGGCTAATAATTCTGACTTCAACTGTATGTATATATATATATATAATTCCTTAGGGTAACTAAATTGCATTTTATTGAAATTGCACTTATTATATTTACACTTTCCCCCACCGGAGCTCACAAAATCTCCACAGTCAGTAAAGTTAGTGTTGGAGCACATCAGGTCATCATCATCTCATTTTATTTTGATTTCTGGTAAAGATAAAGGCCAATCCTGACTCCAATTTAAAGAAGTAAAGGTGTTTTATTTTCTATACGTGGAAATAGACAGATGTTGTGTAGTAGTACTGACTCAGTCGTGTAATAATATACTTTAGAATAATATAATAATTGGAAAGCAGGAATGGTGATTAATAACTTTCCCAACACTGATTATACGTATAGTTTCCTCCACAGGAGCTGAAGACATCTCCACCGTCAGTCAAGTTACTGTTGGCCAACATCAGAACATCACAATCCCGTGTGTGTACGCTAAGCAGCTTGTGGGATTCAGGAAGTATGTGTCTACTGGGGACTGGTGGCTGTTCAGCAGGACTGTGTCTGACAGGAGAGTGTGTGTTGTGGAGCACAGAGCGCAGCGTTTCTTTACCGTTACCCTGTCAGACGCTAGATCTGCAGACTCGGGGAGATACTGGTGCGCTGTGGAGAAATACGGCCCTGATCTGTACGCTGCATTCGACATCACTGTCACTGAAGGTACTCACAATCACCTTTAAACATCACCTGTTCTGCAGAAATCAGTGCTGAAGGGGTTAAACTCTGAGATAGCTGTGTCTGAAGCCCTTACTGAAGTGTGTCCTTTAACACTGACAGCGTGCGCTAGTAACATGAACATCGTGCATTTGGCTTCATGCAGATTGTACTGTTCTGTCACCTTCATCTCAGATCTCATGATGTGTGTGTGTGTGTGTGTGTGTGTGTGTGTGTGTGTGTGTGTGTGTGTGTGTGTGTGTGTGTGTGCTTCTGCAGGACACACAGCTGACAGTGCAGATCCTCCTAAAGACACACAGCAGGTCCTCATCAGCAGTATTACAGTAATGACGCTCTGATATTACAGTGATCATGATCAACACATCACTGAGCAGCACTGGCATCATACACCACTCACTCATTCATTAAATCATTCATTCATTCACTTATTCATTCATTCATTCATTCATTCATTCATTTATGCATTCACTCATTCATGCATTCATTCACTCATTCATTCATTCGTTCATTCATGCATTAATTTATTCACTCATTTATTCATTCATTCATGCATTCATTCACTCATTCATTCACTCATTCAGTCACTTATTCATTCATTCACTCATTCATTCACTCATTCAGTCACTTATTCATTCATTCACTCATCCATTCATGCATTAATTCATTCATTCATGCGTTGATTCATTCACTCATTCATTCATCTATGCATTCATTCATTCATTCACTCATTCATTGACTCATTCGTTCATTCATTCATTCATTCACTCATTCATTAATGGATTCATTTATTCATTCATTCACTCATTCATTCATGCATTCATTCACTCATTCATGCATTCACTCATTCATTCACTCACTCATTCATTCATGCATTAATTCACTTATTCATTCACTCATTCATTTGTTCATTCACTCATTCATTCACTCATTCATTCATTCACTCATTAATTCATTCATGCATTCATTCTCTCATTCATTCATTCATTCATTCACTCATTCATTTGTTCATTCACTTATTCATTCACTCATTCATTCATTCATTCGTTCATTTGATGTCTTTAGGAAAAAAGGACAAACATTAAGGCTGAGTCGGAGCTCTATGTGTGTATGTCTGGTGTCCATCTGAAGCATCAGGTGTGTTTTAATAGTAATGCTGCAGCATTCATCATCCTCCATCATCTATCATATCAGTCTGTGTTTTTCCAGGGGAATGCGGGAAACACCCAGGCTGCAAATCTGTATGAAGTCATGTCTGAGAACAATCAGGTATACCTGCGATGATCTGCTGTAGCTTTCACCTACAGTCATCATCCACGGCTGATCATACTCTGATTATTAATAATTCGCTCACTCACTCATTATTCATTTGTTTACAGGAGAATGAACACAACACTGAGCACACATCTGAAAATCCCTATGAGCTCATGTCTGGAATAAAGCAGAGCAGGCAGGTAATGTTTTAGCTTTATTAACATGTAATGTGGTATTTATATGCTGCTGATATTCTCATTATAACTAATGTCAATCAATCATTCGGGTTTAAAGGAGAACAAGCAAAGAGTGAACATGAAAATCCAGCACTGCACTTACACTGAACACTCAGGTACATTTCTGTGTGTGTGTGTGTGTGTGTTTTTGTGTGTGTGTGTGTGTGTGTGTGTGTGTGTTTTTGTGTGTGTGTGTGTGTGTGTGTGTGTGTGTGTGTGTGTTTATATATTGCACTGTAAGAATTGCTGGTTTCCACACAAATTAAGTTAACTGAACTTATTGGAGTGGATTGAACATAGAAACTATCAAGTTTTCCCTCAAATAACTGAAGAGTTGTGTTGATTCAGCTCATTTTAAATAAGAAGTCTGAACAAAAAGCAAAATCACTCTTGTATTTGTTTATTTTAATAGGCAAAAACGGGAAAAATGAAGAGTTCATCTGCGGCTGAAACATCCGTGATACACTCATGCACAGACGACAGATTTAATTAAACTCTTGTTTGTAATGTTATTTAGTCAGTTTGACCCACTGAACTCAAGGTTAAAGCAAGTGTAAAATAACAATATATATATATATAGTTGAAGACAGAATTATTACCCCCGTTTATTTTTTCCTAATTTCTGTTAGCGGAGAGCAGATTTCTCCAACACATTTCTGCACATAACAGTGTTAATAACTCATCTCTAATAACTGATGTATTTTCTCTTTGTCATGATGACAGCACATAATATTAGACTAGATATTCTTCACTCTAGTATTCTGCTTAAAGTGACATGTAAAGGCTTCACTAGGGTAATTAAGTTAACTAGGCAGGTTAGGGTAATTAGGCAAGTTATTGTATAACAGTGGTTTGATCTGATTATCAGAAACTAATATAGCTTAAAGGAGCTAATAATATTGACCTTAAAATGGTGTTCAAAAATTAAAAACTGCTTTTATTCTAGCCAAAATAAAACAAATAAGACTTTCTCCAGAAGAACAAACATTATCAGACACACTGTGAACATTTCCTCAGTCTGTTCAACAAGAAACAAAAATTTAAAGGGGGCAAATAATTCTGACTTCAACTGTGTGTGTGTGTGTGTGTGTGTGTGTGTGTGTGTGTGTGTGTGTGTGTGTGTGTGTTTGTGTGTGTGTGTGTGTGTGTGTGTTTATATAATTATATGTTTGTTATGCCTTGAGGAGATGCTGAAGACATGCACATTATAGAAATAACATTTTTATAATAAAAGCATAAAATACGCTTCATCATACTCGCACTGAAAAAACTGAACACAATTCTGACCAAAAGACTGTACTGTGTGGACAAATATCACAGTTTTACCTGATTTTATATTTGATAGTCTTTCTGGCAGCGTTATCTTATTCAGTTTTTATTGGGTGAATTATTATGTTGTATTAGAGCTGCAGGATATTGGATGAATCTGACATTGCCATATCTTGTCTTACTGCGATATGTATTGTGATATAATTTCACCAGCTGGTTTGGAAAGCTTTTGGAAAGACTTTTATTCATTTCAATGAATTGGGATGATCAAGTGCTTTTCTGTGCAGTGGATCTGTATTAATTTTGATAAATTACAAGCAAAAATTAATAAATAAACAGTGCTTTCTGGTTTTCTGGGAGTCTGACAGTATTCTAGTACAGAAATTGAATAATCAGATGTAGAATAACATGATCATCATTGCATAAATCATTACAAATAATAATATTGAATTATATCTTTTAATCTTTAATAAATAATCTAGTCTTGTGATGTGACTATTGCAGATGCACACACTGCGATATCCATACTCACAGTGTGTATTGTTTATCACTAATGTATCTCATTAGGAACACTGATCAGGCATTTAACCTGTTCTGTCTTTACTTTTTATTTTTACTGGCAACCTTACAGACACCAGGCTTAAGTGTACAGTGCTGAATGCCCTGTGCTCTACATGTGTGTGTGTGTGTGTGTTATCCAGACAGCGCTGTGTGTTCAGTTTGTTTGTCTTTGACCTCATGAGGGTCTGCTGAAGTGGAAAAGCCGTGTGGGTGTGAAACTGCTCGTTTCTCATTTTGCAGAAAACACTGGAAACACACTGTAGAGTAAAAGCCATCGTGTGTGTGTGTGTGTGTGTGTGTGTGTGTGTGTCTGTCTGTGTGTGTGTGTGTCTGTGTGTGTGTGTGTGTGTGTGTGTGTGTGTGTGTGTCTGTGTCTTTGTCTGTGTCTGTGTCTGTGTGTGTGTGTGTGTGTGTGTGTGTGTGTGTGTGTGTGTGTGTGTGTGTGTGTGTGTGTGTGTGAACACACTTCTGAACACAGCAGATTATATTCTGGAGATCTGCATTTCATTTATTTACTCTTAAAGCAGTTGAGCACTGAGCTGGAGAACAAGACTGAAGGCCAAATAATAATACAGACAAACCACTGCGCTTTAAAATAACCACAGAGACCGAAGTCTTTGTAATGAGCATTGATTTATGTCGTACATGCTTCAAGACACTTTGATACATAAGGCTGTCAATCAACTCCATAGCAACAGAACACACTAACCTAGCAACCATTAATCATCAGCTGTATCTCCGCATCAGAACATCATAGAGACGTGAGGATTGGCTCATTTGACATGCTCGAAATGCTTATGAAGTATTAAGATTTGATAAAAGATGTATTCTAGAGTTTTAAATAGGCTTTCTGCTCTGACTGATTGGCACAGCCCAGAACATGACTATAATTTATCATTTTCATCAGCAGTAATCACTATAACATGTGAGATTCAGTCAGTTCTACTCTCCAGTATGTCGGACTGAGGATGCGTTATAGGTAAACATGCTCTGTTGTCAGCACGGCTTATGGTTTTTGTCTTATTTCTAGTCCAAATATCTAAAAACTCTTAAATCAAGAATCATTTTCTAGACAAGCACTAATATAGTGTTGTGTTCAGAAACTATGAGTCAAAATGTACTGAGGTTTTCCTTAAAGCAAGCAGAATAATCATGTTTTAAAGTGAAAACTACCGTCTCTTAGCCCACTGTCAGATTATTGTGCTTGTTTTAAAGGGAAACTCACTTTATTTTGACTCATTATTTTTGAAAACAACACAACATTTTGAGTTTGTCTTAAAAATTCATCTAGAATTTTGAGATCTTTGGACTAGAAACAAGAGAAGTCTAAATACTCAGAGAGCTCTGGAAAACCCTAAATCATTGGAGAAACAATAACAGAATTAGAATATTGAGGTGGAATATAAACGTCCTGCAGTTTTAATAGAGGGAATGCATCACTGTGGCTTCATCTGACCTAACTATTGCAATAAAAAGAAGCAGTTTTGACATTTAAACCACAAATACTCTTGCAAAACCCTGACATTTGTGCGGGAGAGCGGGTCAGAAACAAAAGAGGAACTGGAGAAATGTGGAGATTCGCATTCGGTGCCAATAAACTTCACATGATGAGACAGAAATGGAGCCGCAGCGTCTGCTCTTCATCCTCAGCTGTCTCAAACTCTCAGGTGAGAACAATTATTCATATTAATATTAGAGAATTGCAAAAATACTATTTAAGTCAGTGATATTACATGTCAAGGGTTCATCTGAGTGTTCATCAGTTTGAGTTTTCTCTTGCTGGTTTTTGTTTGATTTGTAATCAGTAATCAGATGATTTTCTGTCATGTTTATTTTAGAGTTGCTGTGTTCGTTCTGTACATCCCTGATTTCAGCTGTTCTTTGTTGTCATTTTATTGTAGCTTGGTTCACTGTATGTTCTGTATTTTTGTGTTTCTACTGTGTGTTTTGGTTTATTAGTAAAAGTAAGAATAGACAGTAAAAGAGATTAGATTTAGACATACACTGATGTTTAATAATTTTATATATGGTGATATTTAACATGCACATTATTGAAATCATGTTTTAAATACCACAGATAATTATTTAATGTGATTTTTAATATTCAGGTTGTATTTGCAGTGTTATTGCAGCAAATGATTGAGTATTAATTGGTTAATTATCTAAATATTTAAAAAGAATTGTGGTTTAACCTGGCCTACTGCATGCTGAATTATTGACTGAAGATTCTGTGAGTGTGCATGGAGCTGCTGTGCAGAGATTAAAACAACAACAGTAACATTAGTTAATGTAACTAAACAACAAAACCATTTAAATGCCTAATAATGTGTTAAAGTCAGAGATGTAATCCCATTGCAACTCGTTTTATTAAATGGTATTAATTTCAGGTCAAATTCAGTTGCATTTTTAATGAATTTAAATTATCTTAGTAACTAATAAAATTAGTTGATTTAGCTACCATTTACTAATGAGACTTTATTGTAAAATGTTTCCTTTTTTACTTTATAATCATTTTGCAATTTAATTATGTTGTAATCTTTGTTTACATGAGCGTGTCTATACAGTAAAGCAGTACAGTCAGTATTTTTGGTTGTTACACCTATTAAATTAACCTTTTTTTGCAGCTTAGATTAATATCGTGATATAAGCTTTAAGACACTCTGATATCATCATAAGCCTTATTAAATCAGTGAATACTCTACTACACTTTTGCATTAGTTCAGGTCGTCTGCATTGTAAATCTATATTGTCCTTCCTTCAGGTGGTCAAGACATGATTTCTGTGAGCCGTGCATCAGTTCAGCGTGGACAGTCCATCATTATTCCATGTCTGTATGACCAGAGATACGAGCTTTCACACAAATACCTGAGTTCTGGATATCTGGCAGCGTTGAGTAGATATGTGGAGTTCTCCGACCAGCGCTATCAGCATGAAACCGTCTTCATCTCTGACGACCGGTCAGGCCACGTCTTCACGGTGCGCTTGGATGATGTGCAGCGCTCTAGACTGTACTGGTGCGGCGTGCAGATTCCTGGAGCTCTGGATCCACACGCTCGCTTTTACCTGGAGGTCACAGCAGGTGAGAGCGTGTCTGGAGGCAGGATTAAAACGTCTGAGTCTTCTAGAGTGTTTGCAGATGTTTAAGAGTCGTGCTTGTTTATCTGAGAAGCCATGCTAAAGCCAGTTATTCTGCTTAGAGAATGTGTCTGAATGTCTGTCTTTGCTTTAGTCTCTATAACCTGCCCACTGCAAACTCACACAGAAGCACCAACTGCAGCCGGGACTCGAACCAGTGACCTTCTTGCTGTGAGGCCACAGTGTGAGCCGCCCTGCAGTTTGTCTCTTCCTCCTAAATGCATCAACATTCTGTCGTCTCCTCATGCTTCAGTTTCTTATTGAATCTACTGACCAATCAAATGCTCTCTAGTATCTGACATGCCCCGCCCCCTTTTTCTCATTGGCTGTTCATTAGATGCGCTTGAGCTCAAGCACTCCCACTGGCAGAGCTGATAGTTGTTGTTGTTTTCCACACAGGTCCTCCAGGTCTGTCTGTGATTGGTCAGCATGTGTCGGGCTCTGAGCAGGGCAGCGTCTCCATCAGCTGTGTTTACCGTGGTGAGAGCGCGGTCCGCTGGTGTAAATTGGGCGGTGTGTGCATTACTGCGGTGTCTGCGGTGCTGGATGGAGCTTCAGTGGAGATCAGAGGTGGAGCAGGGCTGGTGACGGTGGTCATGAGTGGGCTGCGGATGGAGAACTCAGGATGGTACTGCTGCTCCACCCCTGAGCTGCAGATGCCGGTGTACATCAGTGTGGAGCAGAGGATGGAGAACCAGAACAGCACCGCCGGCCCGCACAGCAGGTCACAGTCACTGTTCTTATTGTTATATCTGCAGTTGGGGTCAGAATTATTATTATTATTTTTCTTTGTCCAATATTTCCCGAATGATGTTGAACAGATTCAGGAGTTGTTCTCAGTGTTTCCTCTAATGTTTGTTCTTCTGGAGAAAGTCTGATTAGTTTTATTTGGGCTAGAATGAAAGCAGTGTTTAATAGTGTTAAAGCCATATTAAGCTCAATATTATTCGCCCCTTCAGCAATATTAGTGTTGGATTGTCTCCAGAACAAACCACTGTTATACAATGACTTGCCTAATTACCCTAACTTTACCCTAATTACCCTAGTGAAGCCTTTACATGTCACTGTAAGCTGAACACTAGTGTCTTGAAGAATATCTAGTCTAATATTATGTGCTGTCATCATGGAGAAGAGGAAACACATCAGCTATTAGAGATGAGGTATTAACACTGTTATGATAACATATATGCTGAAGAAATCTCTCTGTTAAACAGAAACTCAGAGATGCAGCCCTGGGTTTATATGTTTCAGTTCTCAGAGATGCAGCCCTGGGCACGTGTCTCCAGTGAGTCTGATCTGTGTGTAGTACTGCGTGTTATCGATGATGTGTCTGTGCTCTTCATGATGCTGTCGTGCTGATCTTTACAGGATATCTTGATGTCAGTCTGCTGATAGTTCAGCTTTCTCCTGTTTGTCCACACTCAGTCAGTGTTGTGATGCTGCTGTGCTGTTTGCGGTACGGAGGCGATCTGCTCACTGTTTCCCTCTGTCTGCTCTTTTAGGACGCTGCCTTTACTTCTGCTGTGTGTGGTTCTGGAGACGCTGCTGATGCTGACCATTTACTGCACACACACACTGATCCGCCGCTGCAAACACAGTCAGTGCTGTTCTTCAGAGCTCTGTGTGTGTGTGTCTGTGTGAGTGTGTGCGTGAGTATAAGCGTGTGTGCATGCATGTGTGTGTCTGTGTTCCTCTGTGTTTTAGTATGTGTGTGTGCATGCATATGTGCATTAGTGTGTGTGTGTAAGTGTGTGTGTGTGTGTGTGTGTTTACGTGTAACGTGTATTTGTCGTGTGTTTATATAGCTGTGTGCCTGCATGTGTGTGTATGGATAAGGTGTATTTGTGTGTGTATGTGTGTAAGTAATGTGTATTAGTTTGTTGGTGTGTGTGTGTGTAACTGTAGTGTTTCCTCAGGACTCTTTAATGTCTGTAGATGCATGATTGTGTGTGTCTGTGTGTATATATATATATATATGTGTGTGTGTGTGTGTGTGTGTGTGTGTAACTGTAGTGTTTGCTCAGGACTCTTCAGATGTGATTCTCCCGCTGATGACGGTCAGTATGTGACGATGCACAGCACACACACCCAGCCGGTGAGTTCACACACACATTACACCATCATCATCATTCTGCAGAAACACTGCATTTAGAGAACATGGTGTGTGTGTGTGTGTGTGTGTGTGTGTGTGTGTGTGTGTGTGTTTTCAGGCTCCTCTTGGTTCTGCTGCTGCTGAAGAGGACTATGAGACTATGGCTGAACTCAACACACACACACAGGTACAGCAGCTCTGGTACTGCACTAAACCACTGACTGTGTGTGTGTGTGTGTGTGTGTGTGTGCCTTTCATGACTTATGTTGTGCTGTGTATGTGTGTGTGTTATTGTGTAAAAGTGTGTGTATTTATGAGAGAGAGTGTGTGCATGAAAGAGTGAGTGTGTGTGTGTGTGTGAGTATGTCCATGAGTGTGTGTGTGCACATGCATGAGTGTGTCAGTGTCTGAGTAAGTGTGTGTGAATGAGAGATTGAGTAAGTGTGCATGCGTGTATGTGTGTGTGTCTATGTTTGTGAGAGAGGGTGTGAGTGTGTGTGTGTGTACATGCATGAGTGTGTGAGTGTGTGTATGAATTTAAGATTGAGTAAGTGTGTGCATGCGTTGCTTGTGTAAGTGTGTGAGTATGTGTGTGCATTTGTGTGTGTGTGTGTGTGTGCATGTGTGTGTGCTGCAGAGAACTGATCTGAACTGATCTGTGCTTGTGTGGTCTCCTCCAGCAGTGTAGACAGAAGGATGATGATGATGATGATGATGTGAGCAGCACAGAGACTCTGCCTGTACTGTAAACACTCTGTCCTTCATCATATTCCTCCAGCTTCACATCACACACCTCTCTCTGTGTTCAGCTGACTGAGTCACAGGTAATACAGTGTCATTCAGGGCTGGATTAGAGACTCTTCTCTTCATCGAGGATGCATTTATTTGCTCAAACTACAGTCGTAAATAGTGAAATATTATTGTTATTATTAATATTATTATTATTATTAATAATAATAATAGCGGTGTGTGTGTATCAGTGTGCAGACTGTATTTCAGAGTCACTATAGGATGAGGATCTGATGATCAGCACACATGTATGATCATTGTTATCCTCATCGATGCTGATACTGTGCACACTGAGGTGTATTGTACTCTAGGTTTACTGATCAATGCTGTTTTCATTTATTTGACACACACACACACACACACACACACACACACACACATCTGTTCTAGCGCTATAAATCTGCCATGTTGATGAGGTGTAATGTGTTTACTGTAGTGTTCATACTGTACAAACACCAGGGTGTCCGCGGGGTCTTACATTTCACAAACACAATTGTTGGCCTTAAAAAGTCTTCATTTTCCTTAAAGCTACCCACAGATCTCAATAAAACCTCCAGCAGAACCGCTGATAACTGCTATAACTGCAGTCTGATGTGCAAACATGTAGTTTTAAAGTGTTTTTTTTAAGTTATGGTGAACAAAAATGTTTGTACACAACTCAGATCTGCTTGTTTTGACACAATATTTAAATTAAGATTAGATTTGATTCTGCTGGGTTATTAAAATATCCTTAGTGTTCATCCCTAGATAAGTCTGACGTTTAATTCTTCATGCTCTTAAAACCCTTGATTTGACTTGGTGAAACCTGCAGACACACAGAACACAGCTCATCTGGATCTGCAAACAAACAGTGCAGCATGAGGATATTTACATGAGCATTGATCATCTCCAGTGTTGATCTGATCCCGGATTGTGTTGATTCTCTGTGGTTTGTTTCTGTCTTTATTGTCATTGCAGACTGTGTGTGTAACGGGAGGAGAATTAATCATGTAGTGTTTGTGTAGCATTATAGATCACAACTCAAAGCTGAAGATCTGTTTTACTCACTCTACATGATATTTCAGCATCATAATGAATGATTCTTCATGCTGGTTATTATGCTGAATTGATTATTGATTATTGTGATGATTAGCTTCACTCTTTACAGGTTTTCTTAATATTATAAAAACTGATTCTGAACTGTATTTGCATTGAATAACATGTAAGACATCGTCCACTGTAACACTACACACTGTTTTACTGCAGCGTTCATGAGCTCAGCCCTGATGATCATTAAGATATTAGATGAGACAAATCTGGGTTTACACTCGGAAGATTGTGTTTAGACTTGGATTTGTGTTGTTGTTTATTATTATGTAATGATATTATCAGCCCTGATGATGATTTCTTCTTCTTCAATCTGACCTCAGCCTGCAGCAGCGTTCATATATTAGACGACACAAATCTGGGTTGAAGTCTCAGATATGTCTGTATGTTTACATCAGAAGATTGTGTGTACAGATTGTTGTGTAACAGGTAATATTGTCTGTTTCTGTGATTCATCTTCATGATAAAGAGTGAATAAATGCCATCAGAAAGAGACACCGAGCTGCTGACAGTGTGTTTATTGAGGGTTTCTGGCTGCTGAGATGTGAGTGTGTGTTTGTGTATCTGCTTATGTGTGTGTGTGTGTGTTTGTGTTTGTTGATGTCATTACAGGTTGGGTCCTCTAGATGGCGCTAGAGACATTCATCATCAGATCACACTGTCAGTTCTGGAACTCCAGGTACATTTTCCAAAGTAAATCTACTGTTATATTACACAAATTAAACCATTAATGATTAGTTTTGAATAATTTCACATTATGACCTGTAAAATACTGTTTGTGTGTGTATTTAGAGACATTTAGTCTTGTAAATATGAGCTTAAAGACTCCCACTGCACATATTCTGACTGTCTCCATCTCCTGAATCATACTGTATCTTCAATTATCAAATATTTCAGTCTCATTTAGTCGTTTTTTTTCTAAATATTTGATTATTTAACTTAAGCATTTGCAGGATACATCTATTTTCTGTAGTAATACAGTTATAAACACTGAGTGTGTGTCTGTTCTGCTCAACTGTGTGCAATAGATGTGTGCGTTCTCAACATTTAATCACAGAACAATATAATATTGCAGGACCGCTGGTGTGTGTTCTGATGGGGCTGATGGTGTGTGTGTGTGTGTGTGTGTGTGTGTGTCCTGCAGGTGTCTGTCGGGTCATGATGAGCATCTGGTTTTATTCCACAGGGACACACAGCTCTTTCTCACCCGCCTCCTCTGTTTAATCTGTCCTTCCTCTTGTTTTCTATGAGCGATGCCACCTCTCTCGCTCTCTCTCTCTCTCTCTCTCTCTCTCTCTCTCTCTCTCTCTCTCTGTCTCTCTCTGTCTCTCTCTCTCTCTCTCTCTCTCTCTCTCTCTCTCTCTCTCTCTCTCTCTCTCTCTCTCTCTCAGTAATGATAGGCAGATGGCTCAGAGTGGGGCTCTGCATCTACCTGTGTGGACAGCTGGTGTTGTCCCATTAACACTTAAAGAGAGGTCTGCCACTGTCACCTGAGCACCGGGAGGGCCCTGGCAGCCTGCATCACAACACCAATCAGAGCGAGAGTCAGCTCACTGCCCACTCCGCCTGCAGGATCAGCGTTGCTCCTCAGCAGGAGGAGGAGGAGGAGGAGGACAGGCTCTTCTTTAACATATGATGGACACAGGTTAGCAGAAGTGTGGAGCAGGGGGGATTCTGTCCGTCAGTCACTGATTTCATGTGGGTGTGGCTGTCTAAAATGTATGCAAATGAGCTTTAGCTTGCAGGGGCGGAGTTTAAAAGCACAGAGAGTATGATTACACTACAAAGAGTTTGTTTAAAAAGGTGTATATACATATATATTGTTTTTCTTTATGCTTTAAAAAAGTCTCACAGAAACAAAACAGCCCATATTCAGCAGATGTATTCAGCAATATAGATGTCGGCTGAGTGTGATTGTCCAGTGGTTCTTGATTAGGTGTGGGTGTGGCTATGCAAGGTGTATGCAGATGAGTGTGGCATTGGGGGTGGAGATATTATTTTTAATTTCTTCATTTACTCCGTCAAGCATGTATTGCTGCTTTATGTGTTGATTTAAATCAGTATATTAACAGAGCTATATTTACTGTGGTGAAGCAGGCAGTTAGCACTGTACCTTCAGCTCTCACTGAACTCATGAAGCCTGCAGGTCTGCTGTAAGAGTTTCTTCTTGTTCCCGTCAGACGTGCGCGGCCCTAGGAGAGCACGCTTACAGAGACTTTAATAACTCTAATTAAAGATAAGCGCTGCGCGACCTTCAGCTAGCGGAGAGCAGTGCTTCTGCAGACACGAGGAGACATGCAGAGTGATGGAGCTCCAGACCTCCTCATTCCCAAATAACACACACAACACAACACACGCCGTCAGAGACACCTGAGCTAGAGGAGGCGGATCGTGATATCACTTCTGTAAGGGGTTCAGCCCAGTCAGCGGTGTGTGGGTATCTCCAGCAGCCTGTGAGGGTGGACATGAGTTCACTGTGTTTATTCTAATCAGACTTGATGCAGGAACACTGTGATTGGCATTCTCCCTTTGTACGTGTCATCAGAGGGGGAAAGCCCCGCCCACTAGTGCCCATCTCATTAGCATGTCCAGCAGGCCTGAGTGAGAAGCAGCCGTCTGTCCATTAGCCATTAGAGTGTTTAAATGCATTAAAACACTGACAGAGCATCATGCTGACAAAATAAAGCTTTTTTATTTACTCCAAAATGCATTCCACTTAGCAACCACATAGGGCGACCCTAGCAACCACTCAAACGCAGTGAAGCATTGAGAGAGCGCTCTCATCTTCAGATTTGATGTCAGTAAATGCTGTAACTCGTCTGTTATAAGTGCTGTTTGACAGGAGAAGAGACTCTAGGTTATCAGTCTCATCATTTAGAGCCCAAAATTCAGAACTCGCAGCTCTGAAATAACTTCCAATTATCCATTCCACTTGAATATTATTCAATATATTTATTCAATATGTGGTCCCCACAGTGGAATGAACCGCCAACTATTCCAGCATATGTATTATGCTGTGGATCCTCTTCCAGCCACAACCCAGTAGTGGGAAACACCCATGCACGCTCAGTCACACACACACACACACTTATACATCACAGCCAGTATAGTTCCCCTTTAGCGCATGTGTTTGGACTGTGGGGGAAACCGGAGCACCCGGAGGAAACCCACACCAACACGGGGAAAACATGCAAACTCCACACAGAAACACCAACTGACCCAGCCAGGACCTTCTAGCCTCACCGTGATTAGAGTATCTTCTAATGAGCAGCGGCTGTTGGACATCAGGCAGAGTGTAGGCTGTGAGTGTGCGGGTGCAGAACTGACACACTCCAGCTCCTTTATTTGCTCAGGATCAGCCTGTCGTCTTCTGAGATGTGTTTTGTTGAAGAATGACTCTGTGGACCGCACTGTTCCCTTAAGTCAAGAGACTTTATTATTGGCCTACTTCTGCTTAACCCCATTACTGCTTAATAGATGAGGAAAGGGTTTTTTAGGAGGAGAACTGTTGCGGCGTAAATTAATGAGCAGATTCATCTGTAAATGAGCAGTGCCAGCGGACGGTGTGTGTGTGTGTCTGAAGGTTAAAGAGCGCACCGATCTGTGCCAGAACCAGGCCAGCTAATAATACACACATCTGACGCTCAACAACAGCTTCACAATCCATCCACAGCATCTAGAAATGTGCAACAGTGCGGAGAGTTTTACACTGATTTAAACTACAGCAGGCCCAGATTACTGATGACTCTGACTGCAGCTAATGTAATAATGCATCATGTGGCAGACTGTAGTCTTGAGTTACAAGCATTTGCTCACGTCATCCTGTTTATTCCCACTCTATACACAGCACAAGTTCATTCCAAGGAGTTTAGTATGGAGGTACTGTTGTGCCACAGATGCTGTGCAAAACATGTTTGAATGTACAATATGAGGTGCTGTGTGCATGAAGGAGTTTGTGATCTGTAGGTCAGGTTTGGAGCAGGCTAAATTGCTTGTTGCACAGTTCCTAACTCAGTGTTGAGGTTCAAAACTGTCCAGACTGAATAAGCATGAATCTCTAACCAGTGGTCCACATTTGATCTTCAATATTAATATTTGTCCCCCTGTGTCGGATATTCAGAGCTCATCTGTAATGCAACGCATGTTGTGATTGGTTGTCAAGCCAGCCAATCAGAATTTAGCAACCGTCTAAGCCTGGGATATATGCAAATGCACAAACACAAAGCTTTTTTATTCAATTCCATCATTAAAATATCTAAATCTGTCATCAATATTTGTAGAAATAATTCAGAACAAATGGCCAAAGCTCATAACAAACAGCACTTTACTATGAGGAGACTGATATAAACACTGATTGATCAGAGTATTGAGCAGTGTTTACAGTGATCTGATTGGTTAGAGTTGATGATTAGTACGCCCACCTGGAATGTGCGTGTGCAGATTTCCGCAGAGGTTTAGCCCGTCATTAATTCTGTTTATTTACTTCAGTAAATGTGTGTACATCTAGATTTAGTCCGTTTAATTTCAGTAATATTATTGACTAATGTGAAAATGTTCATCTGATTTATGTGCAGTGCAGTGTGTGCAGTAATATTTTCTGTTTTTTACTGGATATATTATATGACACTTGCTTTGTTTAACAAATAAAGTGGATCTAATTGGATTTGCATTTTAAACATTAAATAAAAGTTATAAAGGTATATTTTTTATTTCATATATTACGGTTTTAGTTATGATGCTCCCAACATAATTACACAGACTTATTTACCAAAATTTCAGGCTGAAAGAGCAAAAAACGGCCGCAGACTCTGCCTGATGATGAGCTGTGCGCTGCGCTCAGTTTGCTCGTGTCTGCTGCTGAGTTAAAGTTCCTCTAATGCAGATTCACTTCCTCTAGTGTAGGGCTTGTGATCAACTCATGAGCTCTCTCTCTCTCTCTGTGTGTGTGTGTGTGTGTGTGTGTGTGTGTGTGTGTGTGTGTGTGTGTGTGTGTGTGTGTGTGTGTGTGTGTGTGTGTGTGTGTGTGTGTGTGTGTGTGTGATATTGATTTGACATGACTGTGTTTATCAGGTCTGAACGTGCCGCGTTCCTGCTGACCACACATTCTCTCTCTCACATACACACACAGACATTCAGTCTCACACTCTCTCTCTCTCTTTCTCACACACACACACACACACACACACCCGTGGCTGATGTCCAGATGGCACACAGCGGGTGGAGGATGTCATTCAGACCCAGCACAACATCCACAAATGGGCCTGCAATCTAACATGAGCAGGCGACTTCTCTCTCTCTCTCTCTGTATGTGTGTGTGTGTGTGTGTGTGTGTGATGGAGCCGGACGGGCCTGAACCCCCTTTAACAATGGACTTGATCAGACTCTGCTGCAGATGAAGGGGGTCGAGAGGGAAAGAGGTCAGAGGTCAGAGCTGCACCCCCTTAGATGAATATATATGCAGCGAGAGAGAGACGGTGGAGGAGACACAAAGCCTGCGCTCTCACTGCTGTTTCTAGAGCGCATTTTAGAAGCAAACATTTTTATTATGAGTCAGCTGCCGTTTCTGTGTGGAGTTTGCATGTTCTCCCCGTGTTGGTGTGGGTTTCCTCCGGGTGCTCTGGTTTCCCCCACAGTCCAAACACATGCGCTATAGGGGAACTGATCAACTACACTGGCTGTAGTGTATGAGTGTGTGTGTGTGAATGAGTGTGTATGGGTGTTTCCCAGTACTGGGTTGCAGCTGGAAAGGCATCCTCTGTGTAAAACATTGGCTGTAATAGTTGGCAGTTCATTCCACTGTGCCAACCTCTTAAAAATAAATAGACTAAGCTGAAGAATGAGATAGATAGATAGATAGATAGATGGATGGATGGATGGATGGATGGATGGTTGGATGGATGGATGATGGATGAGTAGATAGATAGATGTTTTGTTTGTGAGTGTTGTTGCTAAGGCTCTTCTTCATCAGCTGTTGTTGTTCATCTTCATCAGTCTTCATTAAGAGTTTCTGCTATCATCATCATCATCATCAGAGCAGCGGCGCGCGCGTTCTTATGCAATGCGCGCGTCCAGCTGAGAGCGGGGAATGTAGGCGTGTCTCCGTCGCGCCGTCAGCCAATCAGCAGCCGCGAGTCTGAGTGTTTTGTGTGCCGCTCTCAGTCCTCCAGCAGCAGCTTCAGTCTCTACAACTGGAGTCCAGCAGGAGAACAGAAGAGGAGCGGGATTATCTCCAGGAGGAGGATGAAGATGATGATGAAGATGATGATGATGGAGGCAGTGCCGTGTCGACTGGTGTTTCTCGCCGTGTTCTTCGGATCCCGGGTCCAGCAGACTGAAGGTAAACCCGCGGTGTTTAATGCTGTGCTCGGCCCGTCTGAGGTGCTCTTTGTTTGCAAGCATTGCAGCCCCGAAGTGTGTGTGTGTGCGCGCGTGTGTGTGTTTGTGCAAAGATGGCGCAGGTCAGAGAGGGAGAGACCCGTAATAATAAGACAGAAAAGCAGAAATCCACCGCTTATTCAGTGAGAATGAGGAGAAAAGCGGAGCTAACACACCTGATTGCATTCATAACCGATTCGGAGCAGAGACTCGATTCACACACACAGACACACTCACAGACAGATAGACAGAGATGGGGGATACGTGTCTAATCAAATCTACAGTCCGAGTCTGTTTATTTCGCGATCAGTGTTGCGATCTTACACACACACACAGTTCGTCAAGGCGGTGTATGTCCAGTCCAGACTGATGTGTGCACACATTAAACTCTTCTCGATCCAGTGTCATTAACCAGTTTATTGTCTACTGTGGAGTAAAAGCCTACTTTTGTTGAGTCTGATAATCTGGCAGCTCATAAATCGCCTTTATTTACTGTAAACTCACTAATAATGTAGTTTGGAGAGTTTGAGCTCAGTTTAAACAATAGAGAAAACTTACAATACGCCATATACGGTGATTTACACATCCAGCTAGCTGGACCGGCTAACGCTGCGTTAACTGCGCTGATAACGGTTTAAACTCCGCTTTATCCGCGCATGAAGAGTTGTAAATAGTTGGTATTTATTTTAGAATATAACTTAAATATTATGTTCTTGGTTTTGTTTTGTTTACAACTTTTTAAAAGTGTGTTTTGTCAGCTCGATTGACTTTTCTAAACAGTTAGCTGTTAGCTACTTGGCTAACTTACTTTCCACTCAGTTCTTTAACGTTAGTTGGCTAACTCAGTTTAACAGAAATAACTCGTTTGTTTACTTGTTAGCGTTTCTGTATTTGCTGTTGTGTGTGTGTATATATAAGAAGCAGAGGTATTTTCGCCAGTGTTGGTGGTTTCTCTGCTGTTGTTTATAACTGTCTGTTTATTACTCCGTTATTAAGTCGCTGTTCATCATTATAATAGTCAGTCATATAAACACAAGATGATGTCAGATGGAGATGTATAGACTCAGAACTGTGGGCTGTAGATTATAGACTGTCTCAAGCACAACTGTGCTGTCTAACTAACGATGTGTGACAGGAGAAACACAATAGAGCTGCTCTCGTAATTAATGTGTACTTATCTAGGAAATGTCCCCGAGTAATAACCAAAGTTCTTTTGAAGAGATTGTCCATCCAAAACATGTCATTTCTGTCGTCATTTCCTCATATTCCTCTTGCTCCAAACCTGTTTGAGTTTCTTTATTCTGAACACAAAGGATGATATAGTGAAGAATGCTGGACGAAAACAGACACTGACTTCTAGAGTATTTCTCTTCTTAATATTGACTCTTTTATTTCAGCATATCTTCAGAATATTGTGTTTTGAGTTCAACTATAGAAAGACACATAAGGATAAATGAAGATGACAATTTTATTTTTGGGTGATCTTTAAAGACTATAATAAAACTGGGCTGTACAGTCTGTCAAAGGGATAGTTCACCCAAAAAATGAACATTTACTGGCCATTTCCGTCTTTTGGATGAGATGTTAAACCCAGGTCCTGACTCTGTGTGGTCATTATTAATCCTAAAATGTCCTTGGTCAAAGAGTAGGGGTTTAAGCCCTGCATCCTGGCTCAATCTGCCCACTGGCCTCTGTCCATCATGGCCTGCTAACCATCTCCATATCATGTCTCCCCTCCACCAATCAGCTGGTGTGGTGTGCAGTCTGGCGCAATCGCTTTATCCATGTGGACGCTGCACACTGGTGCTGGATGAAGAGATTCCCCCTAAAAATGTGTAAAGCGCTTTGAATGTCCAGAAAATCGCTATTATAATATAATTATAATTAATAATATAATAATAATAATTATTATTATTATTATTTACTCTCACTTAAATGGCTCCCAAACCTGGAGTCTTCTGTTGAACAGTAAAGGAGATATTTTGAAGAGAGCTGGAATCCTGGAATCATGAACTTTTTAATAGTATTTGTTTTAAGTCAGTGGTTCTCAACATTCTTCAAAATATCTTCTCTTGTGGCCAACAAGTAAAGGATGAGGAAATGATGACATCTCTTAACATGTTTTCAGTCTGGTGCAGTGTTATTTATTTCCTCGTTGTCATCATATATATTGTGTTTTGAGTGTTTGTTCTCTGCATGTGTGGCGGTGAGGAGGAGCTCAGGGTTTGTTGATGCTCTTCTTCTTGAATGTGTTTTGTCACTCTATATCTGCAGATGGAAGTGACTGCAGGTTTGATCTTGTCGCTCTGGATTGAATAATAATAATTCTTCTTCTCTCTTTGTCTGGCGGGCAGGCGTGTGAGTGGGGGAACACACTCTTATAGTGCTGTTTAGGTGTCTTGTTTGATCTGGTTCACCTTCACTGAATGTGAAATGGCTGCTCGATGGGCATTGTGTGAATCACGTGTGTGCTGACGCTCTGAAGAGCCGAGATGTGTGTCATTGTGAGATGTTCATAATCAGACTAGTGTGAATGGACCAATTAAATAATGTCACGATACCTGCGTGACTTCTGGAGGACGCTAAATGATCAAGCTCTGTCAGTGTTTGTGGCATAATGTTCTGTAACACACACATACATCAAGGATTGCCCTACTAATGATGATAGTAAGAATGGTAACTACCGTATATTAGCACACTATAGATTCTGTTTAATGTCATATTGGAGGATTATAATTACTGTTACAATAATTCTGCTGTTATTATTATCCACACTGCGACAATGCTGCTGTTTTTAATGCATTGTCTGTCTTTTTAAATGCTGGAGCTTTTTGAGCACGATGGATTCTGATTGGTTGTGTGTGTTTTTATTGTTCATCAGATGGAAAATAGTATTATTCTGCAGTATTATTTGGATGTTGTAACAGTGTGGAGTTCAGAATTCTCACAGAATTAACATGATTATTAATAACACTTTAATAAATGACTTATTTGTTTATGCAGGTGTTTTATTTAGGTTTCTGTTTATTTGCGGTGGAGAATTGCATTATGGGATGTTCATCTCTCCTCCATTGACTTTTAATGTTGAAAACTCAACTGTACATTTTATCAAAGTGACTATTACTAAAAGTTCTCGGGGTTTGAAATAATATGCTATATTAGTAATTTATAGAGATGAATGAACTCTGTACAAGAACATCAAAAGTACAGTCAGTTTATCTCCAGTTTTAGTATTATATTGGACTTATTTCCAACCCTTGACTGAAGCTGTAAGTGAGTTTTGAGTTAAAGCCTCATTATTTATGGTGTTTGCACATGCTTTTAGGTTTAACATTTACTAGAAAAGTCCACAAACAGCTTGATACCCGACAGATATTCGACATGCTAAAAACCCAGAGCTCAAAATCCTGCTGTGTGAACTGTGCTCTGATTGACAATAACATCGGCGATTACCTACAGCCAATGAGAGAGCAGCATCCAGGCCAGTTGTTAGTGGTTCTTCCTATTGTAAAGTGATGCAGTGTTGCTGATCCATCTTGCAGTGTAAACACAGCAGTGATGAAACACTAGTGTAGATAGTCATGCAGTGTGACGCCACTACTCTGAAAATCCTGCATAACGCGCTCTACAATCACTGCTGTTTATCGAGCAGCCCTATCCCAGATCTGTGTACAGCGCAGTGCTCCATGTGTGTTTGCTGAAGCACACCTGAGCTCTGCAACGCTGCTGCTGTTGTCTGTGTGTGAATGATCTCCGTCTGCTGCTGTGCTGTGGATGAGCTTCAGCGGATCCAGAGACACTCGGGGACAGTGATTTAGTGCACTCGGCCCCGGGGCCCCTAAACGCACGGGCCCTAAGAGGCTCGTCTGAGCATTTGATACATGCTCTCTATAATAACGCTGCCTTTGGGACAGGAATCTGTGGCATTTTCCTGACCCCAAACTGCCTGTTGTCCCGGCTTAAAGAACCAAAACTAATTTGAGAAGTTGCATTAGTGCCAGCTGTGATTGAGTCGAGCTACTGATGCGTTCACAAGCCGGATCCACTCATTTGCAGTGATAGTGGCTTTTAAAAGTGTAGCGTGCACTGGGAAATCAGCACAAGCATCTGAGGGTTTCCTGGAGCTTTATTAGGCTGGACTTAAAGCAGTGGTTTTCTAGTATTGGCTTATGACGGTGTCTGATTGTCTTGTTGTAATGATTTTAACTTAAGCTCAATTCAAGTGTGTTTGTATAGAGTTTGTCACAATAATTATCATGACACAGCAGCTTTATAAAAAGTGCAGGTTATTACTACATTACAGTCAAAACCGTTAAAGAGTATCGGCTGGACACAGTTAACCTGCAGTTATATATAGTGTTTACCAAAATAGTGATGTCTGTGTGTTTAATACATGATCAATATTATGCGTATACGATATATTAGTTATGTAATGCTGCAAATCTGATGAAGTATGATTGGTAATGCCTCATTAGTAAATGTTAATTAATGCATTGAGAAATTACCACATTTATTAGAGTTGCATGGTCTGACATGGCAATATTTAGTTTTGCAGCGATATGAATATCATTTCACCAGGCTTTTTTGCAGAACTTGAACAATCAATCGTATAATAGCATTGTCTTCATGCTATAAATCAGCTCAATTATATATCTTTATCTTTAATCTCTAATGAATAATCTGACCGCTGCGCATACACACATTGAGATATGGGCGGTGTTCAGCTCTACTCCTCTTGTTGATCCGTCAGACCGCAGCGCTCTCAGTTTTCTCTATTGGATCCGGCCAGCCGTACCTGTTGGAGGATCCCGGATCACTTACAGCACATTATTATTATACCGCCGGCCGTTCAGACTGTGGGGTTTGTGGTTTGGATGCAATAGGAGATAGTGGCATGATTAATGGACTCTGTCAAAGCAACATAAATCAAGCCATTCTGCAACTTGCACTGTCAACACATCA